AAAGAAAGAAAGAAAGAAAGAAAGAAAGAAAGGGGGCCAGGGATATAGCTCAGTGGCATAAATGCCTACCCAAGGTCCCAAGTTCAATCCCTGGTACCGAAAAAAAAAAAAAAAATCTCCTGCAGGAGGGTTTGCTGTCACAGTGAGGCAGCCAGATGCTCCTGGGGTGCTGGGCCCCCACAGGCTCTGCAGCGCCTGGGCAGCTCCACTCCAAGGGAAGCCTGGTCCACGTTGGGCGGCCACTCACCTCCAGCAAGGCCTTGTCCTCAGAGAGACGGATGCCAGGCCGCAGCCGCAGGGGCTTCCCATCCTTCCGCCAGCTCAGCTCCGGTGGGGGCACGGCGTGGCTGCGACACTCCAGGGTCACAGACTGGTTGGCCTCTACAGAGATGGCCAGCTCCTCCCCAAGGATGCTCGGGGGCACTGTGGGGGTAGGGGACAGCAGGCGTGTGTGGGACGGGGGAGATGGTCCATACCAGCATTAGGCTGGCCACTCCCAGCAACCCAGGTGTGTGTGTGTGTGTGTGTGTGTGTGTGTGTGTGTGTGTGTGTAAATCACCACTGGGATGAGCTGTCCTCATTCTGAAGGAGGCCCCTGTGCACCCCTGTGAGGGAAACTGTGGCACTGCCGCACTCTATGGGGCAAGGGGGCTGCCCTAGAGCCCCTGGATGTCCCCAGGACGGGGCGAGCCGAAGGACGGCAGCTCAGGGCCTCTCCTCACTGCTTCTCACAACTGCATGTAAATCTACAATGTTCGAAATGACATCCAAAAATTAAAGTAATATCCTAATCTTTAAACATTCTAGCCAGATAGGGAGCACACCTGCAATCCCAGCCCTGGGGAGGCTGAGGCAGGAAGGGTACCACAAATTTGAGGCCAGCCTGGACTATGTAGCAAGAGAGAAAAAAACCCAAAAAACACAAAAGTACAACAGCAAAGAAAATCCCCAAAGCAGGCCTGAGGCGCGAGGCCCGGGCTCCATCACCTGCTCTCGGGAGCCCAGAGACATCTCCGCACCCTGGGCTTGTTTCCTCCTCTGTGAAATGAAAGTGCCCCCCTACCCCCACCCTGAGAGAGTCACTGTAGTGACACAGGTGGAGGGGATGGCACAGGGTGCTGTCACCTCTGATCCTGATCCAAAAAGAGAGAGCTGGGGCAGAACGCCTCCTGCTCCCCACCAGGGCTGCACTTCTGGAGTCCTCGCTTGAACCTCTGCGGCCCCCATGAGACCCACAAGAGGAAAGTAAAAGGCAAGCACTCTGTCACCGTTGGCTCTGCGAACCCCATGGTGCCCTGCCTGGGGACTCCCCTCCCCCCCATCTCACAGGGAGCTCCCTGGAGCAGAGTGACTGGCTCCAGGCACCACAGGCAGGAGTCAAACCCCAGATGCATGACACGCAAGGGCCAGGGTTGCTGTCACCTCAGCCCTTCTGGAGGGGACCATCACCCCCAAGTGACTTCAAGAAGACCAAGAGTCTCCAGGCTGCTCACTGCCCCTCCTGCTCCTTCCTGCTCCTTCTATGACTTCCTGCACATGGAGCTTCTGGCTGCCAGGCGCCACCCACCCACCCACTGGGGATGTCTCACTCCAGGACAGGTCCTGGGTCCAACTGACCCCACACGATGGTGGCCACAGTGTTGAACAGGCGTGTTGCCCACTCAGCCACTCTCACTCCTCTGGCTGGGGTTGGGGACGCCCCCCACTACCATCCCCCACCCACACCCACCCCAGAGCTGGGGGCCTAGACCACAGGGCCACCTGCCTGACTCTCACCATGGACTTGCAGGGTGACATCTCGGCGGTCTTCACCCACCGCACTCACAGCCACGCAGGAGTAGCTGCCCGAGTCGGAGGTCCGGGCACTGGCCAAGGCGAGGACCCGGCCCCCAGGGAAGACCTGTGTCCCCAGAGTAAAGCTTGTATCAGGAGGTCACCCGCGCTTTCCTTCCACAGGATCAGCGCCTCCCACAAGCTGGCCCTGCTGCCAGGCACACAGACAGACCCTCAGGGACCACCACAGGGCAGGGAAGGCAGGAGCTGGCCCGGACCTCAGCTGGGTGGGGACAGTTCCGCCACCCTCCTAACAGGTGCCACCAGAGCACACAGGCCACATGCAGTTAATGAGCCTTTGAGGCGACCCTTCCAAATTGAGAGGGGTCACAAATGTACAAGATGTAATAAAAAATGGGTAATGTTTAAATATTTAGAAATATGACAGTAAAAGACACAGTACTGTGAAACCCCATAAAATCGTCCCCCTCACTGCGAACACTTAAGCATTCTGCAGTCCCTGCCACTTTCTGCAGAAGCTCTGGAAGTCCTCCTTCCTGAATGACGTACTTGCACTGTCGTGGCTGCCTCAGTCTACCGAACTGATTCAAAAATCAACTTTTCACGGTCACTTTGACTTTGGAAAAGAGCAAGGGCTGCACAGCGTGAGAGGCAGCGATTAGTGGACGAGGCACAGCGCCGTGTTCTCACAAGCGGCCTTCCCTTCGGATGGCGCTCAACAGCAGCACTCGCTGTACTTTTATTTTTATGTCTGGTCTTTGTTTGGAGACAAGGTCTCGCTGTGCAGTTCAGGCTGGCCTTGAGCTCACTATGTAGCCCAGGCTGGTCTCGAACTTACAAGGGTCCTCCTGCTTCAGTCTCCCAAGTGTGGGGATTACAGCATGTCCACCACGCCCAGCTCATTCACTGTATTTTTTATCACACCTAGTAAAGACCCTCAGGAAAGAGGATTCCAGAGCTGCTGCAGAAAGTAGCAAGGACGATGGGATCAATGTGTTCAAAGCAAGGGAGAGGATTTTAAAGGGAATTAATAGCAATGCCTTTTGTTGTAATATATTTTAAAATGTAAACATTCGCTGTACACTGAAGTTCAAGCACACTGAGTAAAATATACAATGCAGTTCAGAGTTAGCATGAACAGAGATAATGTTTACATTGATCACAGGGCGATGCAAGCTCCTGTGATGTACTGGACCCACTGTCGAATTAAAATGGATTTCACCCATTTACTTTTACTTTTTTTTTAAAAATTTTTATTTATTTATTTATTACATCTATTTATTGTGTGTGTGTGTGGCCAGCTCAGCCCACCAGGGGGCGGGGCTGGCTGGCATGTGGTGCTGGAGGATTGAATCGCGGTCCCTGTGCTTTGCCAAGCTTGTTTCAAGTAGGTGCTTTAGACCACTGAGCCATCTCTCCAGCCCTACTTTTACTTTTTGAATGTGCTAATTAGGAAACTTTGGGCGACATAGATGGCTGGCACACGTCATGTCAGGCAGGGCAGCTTGGGCCCAGCATAACCCTGAGTTCCCAGCCCCAGCTCACCCTCCCAGGGCCACCCATCCTCGCTGACCTGGAGGCCAGGGGTCCCTGCTGGTGACACAGGGTTTCCATCCTTCAGCCACATCAGCATGGGGCTGGGAGCGCCAGAGGCATTGCACGTCAGCCGGACAGGCGCACCAAGCAGTACTGGGCCTGGCAGGCTGGGTGGCAGGGTGATTCGGGGAGGCACTGCAGAGTGAGGTGACAAGGGACAGGGGGTGAGCTGAGGCACACAGGATACCCACAAAGGCATGGGGACAGCCAGCCCAACCAGGCAGCCAGTCCACCGCTCTCAGAGCTGTTCATCTCTTCCCTGAGCACCACCAGAGAAGGGTTCCACCTCTGGGAACTGAGGCACAAAGAGAGGAAGCCACCTGCCTAGAGTCAGCCAGCCAGGAAGCAGCTCCTGGACTTAGGCTGGGATCAACAGCAGGAAGTCATCCACCATGGGGATGCTCTGGAGGGAGAGTGGAAGCCCTGACCTCTCCTCTGTCTCTGTTGTAAGCCTCCAGCCTCCCTTCAGTTTCTTGAATTCTTTGCATCTCTGCAGGTTCAAGCCCTGGAGGTCTCAGCTATCAGAGAGGCCCCTGGATGCCACAGCGACCAGCATGCAGTGGACCTCACATTTCCTAGCTCTCATCACAGTGTCATAAATTTGTGCTTTGAGTCATGCTTTAATTACTAAGTCCTACAGTAGACTAAATTTTTCTGGAACTTTCTTATTCAGGGTGCAGTGCCAGGGACTTCTTAAGAGCAAGTATTCAATAAATGTGGTTGGACAGAAGATGAATAGATGGAGGAAAGGATGGATGGAAGGATGGATGGATGGGAGGATGGATGGGTGGGAGCATAGATGAATGGATAGATGGATAGATGAATAGATGGATGGATGGGAGGATGGATGAGTGGATGGATGGATGGATGGATGGATGGATGGGAGGATGGATGGATGGATGGATGGATGGATGGATGGATGGATGGATGGATGGATGGATTGGAGGATGATTGGATGGATGGATGGATGGGTGGATGGATGGATGGATGGATGGATGGATGGATGGATGGGAGGATTGATGGATGGATGGATGGATGGATGGATGGATGGATGGATGGATGGATGGATTGGAGGATGATTGGATGGATGGATGGATTGGAGGATGATTGGATGGATGGATGGATGGATGGATGGATGGATGGATGGATGGATTGGAGGATGATTGGATGGATGGATGGATGGATGGATGGATGGATGGATGGGAGGATGGATGGATGGATTGGAGGATGATTGGATGGATGGATGGATGGATGGATGGATGGATGGATGGATGGATGGGAGGATGGATGCATAGATGAGTAGATGGGCAGGTAAATGGATAAGTGGATGGCTGTGTGAGTAATGGATAGGGGATGATGTGTTAGCTGAGTTTAAAATGAATGGATGCATGGACCGGGTAATAGACAAGTGGAAAGCAAGATACTTCCTTGGCAAAGGGCCCCAGTGCCCCCAGGGCAGCTCACCATGGACCCGGAGGCCGTACTGAAGTTCTGTGCTGCCTGCCACGTTGGAAGCCACACAGCGGTAGCTCCCCGCATCAGAAAGCCGGGCTCGCTCAATGTGGAGACTTCTCCCATCAGCGGAAACCATCACCCCTGTCTGGGCAGAGATGGGCTGGTGGCCCTTGAACCAGGAGACCTCTGGAGAAGAGAGCAAAGAGGCAATGAGTGCTGCTGGATCTTCAGGCTGTGGGAGCAGGCGCAACCCCAGGAAGCTTGCTGGGAGGCATTGCTTTCTGTCATACATTAGAGAAGGCCAGGGTGCTTTAGGAAAGGAGGGGGGTAGGACAAGGTGGTGGTACTTGAGACAGGACCACTGGGTGGTGGCCCGGAGGGGAGGCATGGATGGCCTCTCCTGACAAACCCCGTGCTGCTTCTATGCCCAGGACCCATGCCCGCCCCCAGCCCCCAGCCCTTCCTCAGCAGCTGCTCCAGAGAAGAGATGAGGTGGGGGACCTGAGGGTCCTGTTTCTCACCCCCAGCCCAGGCTGCCCCTTGGAGTGCAAACTGAGCAGAGCCCACAGGTTTGCTGCAGAGCCCAGGTCAAAGCTCTGTGCCTGGCACACACTGGGTGAGTTTATGAGGACAGCTAGGGAGGGCTTTCCCTAAGAGGAGCACCTTACCGGGAGGAGGCACCCCTGAAGCCAGGCACTCCAAGGTCATGGATGCATTCTCCAGCACAGCCTGGTTGATAGGGCCTGGCTCGATGTTAGGAGGAACTAGGAGGAGACAGGCTTGACCTAGCTTGGGGACAGTGGGTATCTCTCATCCCGCCCACTCCAGTGCCCCTTGCCAGACCTCCAAAGGCCAAGAGCAGGATCCAGGGGAGGGGCGCGGTCTGGCAGGGACTTGCCCACCCTGGCAAGGGTGCCATGGACCCACAATATGAAGCAAATGAGCTGAGGTAGGCACAAAGCTGGGCACAGCCTGCCGCCCAAAGCAGGCAGGAGCCACAGGGCAGCTGTCCAGGTTCCATCTCAGGCTGCCCACGTCCTCCCAAGTTGGACACACACTGTGATTTTAAAATCTCTGCAACCATGCACCTGACAGCCAGGGCCCCACGGGCATTGCACACCACCCCAGGCCTCCGGCTCTGCTCGCGGCCACGTCCTTACCCAGAACCTTGACCACCACATCCCTCTTGCTCTCCCCAGCCAGGCTGGTAGCGGTGCAGGTGTAGATGCCTTCATCCCTCAGGTCCACCTTCTTGATCTGGGGGAGGAGGAGAGGCCAGAGTATATCGGGGAAGCCACAGGGCCCAGGCTGGGGACAGCCAGGTAGCTGGTGTCCCCCAAGGCAGGCAGTGTGCCGGGAAGCCTGGGCCAGCTCTTGGGGCTCCCAGGCCCCTCTGATCTCCCGCGTGACTCCCTCCCCCCCCAAACAACTGAGGCTCCAGGGAGCTGAAAGAGGCAGAGGGTCCCCTTCTTTCTCCATGCCAGCACCTCAGGACCCCTGAGGGTCCCAGCCTTCTCTGTGCATGCCCCACCCCCACACTACCAAGGCTTCGCACAGGGCCAGCAGGACCCATGAAGGGCCGCTCCTCCACATGTCCCAGCTGTCCCACCAACCCTGGGGCTCCTAAATGTACCTGCAGGGTCCCCCCTGACGTTGCCAGGGCCACCCCATCCTTCCACCAGCGGAGGCTTGGGGTAGGCGTGCCAGCCCCTACACACTGGAGAGTCACGGACTGCAGGAAAGGGGCTGTGACATTCTCACCCCCAATGACATCGACTGTCGGGAGCTCTGGGTAGGGGGAGAGAGGGAGGGCCTGGGTCAGGCTAAAGAGGGGTACAGGGGTACCCAGCAACCCCTTGATGCCTGTGGGTGAAGGGGTGGCTTGCAGGGCTTCACCCAGGTCTGCTCTCTAGCTTGCCCCACACTCCCCCCACAAGCACCCGCCTTAGAGGGAAGAGCTGCAGGCTGAGCTAACAGAGCTTTCCCTTAGGCGTTCTCCCACCCACCCACCCACCGACTAGTCATCGCCCACCAGTCCTCTGCCTGCCCCGAAGTCCTTCCACCTTCCTACCTCTCCACCTGCCTCTGCACCCATCCACTCAGCACCTGTCCACCCGCCCACCCTCCCATCATCCATCCACCCATCCACCCATCCATCCACCCATCCATCCATCCATCCATCCATCCATCCATCCATCCGTCTTCCCATCCACTAACCTGCCCATCTACTCACCATCCACCACCTCATCTACCCGCCCATTCATCCACCACCCATCCCTCTATCCACCCACGGACTCACCAACCCCTCATTTATCCATCCATCCATCACTCACTGGTCACTTGTCATTCATGTAACTATGTAACCATCAACTCATTTGCCTACTCTTACCTGCTTATCCAATTCTCATACTATCTATTCATCTTTCATCCACCTATCTGCCCAACTATCCATCCATCTACCCAACCATCTATCCACCCATCCATCCATCTACCCACCCATCCTTATACCCACCCATCCATCCATCACTCATCCACCCACTCATCCATCCATTCAACCAACCTTCCTTCCATCCATCATCCACCCACCCATCTGTCCATGTACTCACCCACCCATCCACCACCCATCCACCCACCCACCCACCTATCACCTATCCAACCACCCACCTATCCCTCACCCATCCACCTACCCACCCATCCATCCATCCATCCATCCATCCATCCATCCACCCATGTACCCATCCACCATTCATCATCCATCATCTATCCACACACATGTTCATGAACCTCTAATCTGTGCCCAGCAGAGAAAGGCAACTGTGAACTGGTTTTATGGAGCCCACAGAGCAGGAAGCAGAGACGACTGGCTGTCCTAGTATGGAGGCGGTGGGGGGGGCTCTTCCATGAGACTGCAAGCAGGTGTGGAGGTATTTAAAGGACTGCGTGAGGTTCCATGTGGTCTCAGGAAGAGAGGGTAGGGGATGAGGCCGGGAAGGGAGCAGGCCCGAGGGCTGGACAGGGCAGATGACAAGCATGCTAAGTAGCTGACAAAAGGTAGCCTCTCACATCTGCATCTCTTCAGGGAACTGGGACATTCAGGACTGGCCACTACCCGGAGGAGATGAGCCCCTGTCCCTCCCGGCTGACAGTGCCCTCTGGCTCCACTCGCCTGGCATCTCAAGCCTCCCACCACCCCAATCCTGGACACGGCTCACCGTGCACAGACACCTCCACCTCGGCCCCTGCGGTGCCGGCATCGTTGGTTGCCTGGCAGGCAAAGAGGCCCGCGTGGCCCAGCTCCACGTGGTCAATGTGCAGCAGGGTTCCCTGAGAGGAGACCCGCACTCCTGCCAGCCGCTCTGCAGGGCTGCCGTTCTGCAGCCACCTAGGGTGGGCCGGGCACAGGCTGGCCTGAGGCCAGGAAAGGTGGTTCCAGGACGGGATAGGAGGCTTCCTGTCCCCCCCACACACACACACCCCTGCTGTCCCTCCCAGCTCAGCCTGGTGCTCATCCCTGGGAACCAGGAGCAGCTCCCTGCTCACGTCACCCACCCCATAGCTTGAACTCTTCCCACCCAGCCGAAGCCCTGTGCCCCATACGCACTGGATGGTGGGTACCGGGGAGCCTGAGGCCCTGCATGGGAGTTCCAGGGGCTGTCCCACGATGGCAGTCACCTGGCCCAAGCCTTCAGCCACCAGAAGCTGCGGGGGTACTGTGGGCAGGACACACTGTTGGTGGCTGGAGCTGAGCAAGTCTTCCCACCATGGTCAAAGCAGGAGTCAAAGCCCATCTATTTCGGCTGCCTCCTCCAGACTGAGCCCCGAGAGTCCTGCTGGCCTTGTGCATTCTCCTTCTGCCCCTGTGGGCTGGCATGGAGGAGACAGTGGGAATGCCTGCTGAGTGGCCTGAGCTGGGGACACAGGACAGCGTCCATGCTCGCTTGGTCTAGGGACATTCTTGCTCTTTAGGGGCTGGGATCAGCCCCACAGCCCCACACCGCAAGGCCGGTGCTCAACCAGAGGCCCATACCAGCCCTGCAGTCCTTAACAAGTCTCCATCCCGTGGACAGAAGGAACAGTGTTCTCCACCCGGACGACCCATCCCCAGGACACAGGCAGGAGCTGATTCTGGATCTGAGGACTCAGGCGATCCCCGCAGAAGCTCAGAGGTCTCAACCATGTCACGCAAGACAGGGACACTGGGGACATCACCACCCTCCATCCCCATAGGGGACAAACTGCTGGGGAGCAGCAGGTGTGGGAAGCAGTCTGCTGTCCTGGCCGGCTCACCCTGTACTTCCACAGCATACTGCAACACGGCCTCGCCCGCAGGGCTGCTGGCCACGCAGCTGTACAGCCCCCCGGACGCTTCCCCTGGGCTCTGCAGCCGCAGTGCGCCATCCGGCTCCAGCCAGGTCCCGTTGCTCTCGGCCAGCGGCAGCCCCTCATGCTGCCAGGACACGGTGGGGGGCGGGAAGCCTCTGGCCGCACACTCCAGCGCCAAGGGCCTCCCGGCCACAGCCTGCACCACGTACGGCCCTCCACGGGCACCCTCGATGGTGGGTGCAACTAGGGGGGAGGCAGGGGTACTCAGAGCCTCGGTAGCCTCCCCAAAGCAGCCCTTCCCTGCTCAGCCTACAGGGACCCCTGCCCTATACCGCCCCATGGAGCCTCCCTGTCCCTCCCCCCAAGGATGCCCTCCGTCTTGGCTCTCTCTGTGCTGCCCCTCGGAGCTCATCATGAACAGAACACCCACTTGCCCTGGCATCTCTACACCGTGACTCTCAGGTGTGTTTTGGGGGGCTCCTGGCTTAGCCAGTGGAGGCCAAGGGGACAGGATTGGATCTGTAAACCCAGAACCCACTGCAGCCAAGCTAGAGGAAGAGCTGGCCTCTTAATCTTTGGAGGTACCCATTGCCAGGGAACTCAGTGAAACCTTGGATTAGGAGTAGAGGTGCGTTTCAACCCTGTTTGCCTCCCAAGCTGCTTTGAATATAGAACATACACACACACACACACACACACAGTGGAGACCACCGGGAAGCAGCTCGGAGCAGCACTTAAGCTAGCCAACTGGTTTCCATGTTCCCCTGTGAGTCCGTCCCTGGCCGAGGCCCCTTGATGGAGATGGGCAGTGGACTCAAAGTAAGTGCACCGCTGTGAGCCACTGGTCCCACTGAGGCCTGTAGTGGCTGGTGAAGCCGGGAAGCCTCAGATGACAAGGCCACAGTGAGGGACACCCGGCTCCAAGCTCAACGGCAGCTGCAGACACTTCCCTCCTGGGTGGGGACTTTCCTGGAGACAACACAGCTCTCCTAAATTAACACTGTGCCTTATTTGGGGAAGCCCTGGAGCTGCTCCTGCTCTTCTTCAGGATTATTCTCCCTTGTTCTGCTAACTAAATAAATACAAGCAGCCCAGAGAAGACCTTGGTCTTAGCCCCCAGAGGATGTCGAATTCTGTGAGAGGGTTTAGAGCCTCCTCCTGGAGCCCTAAAATCACATCACTTGGCCCATGTAGGTAAGCCTTCGCTGTCCACTTGTTTGGGACATTGCAGCCCTGTTCAGTCCACAATAACTAAGGGATAATATCGACATGTTACACACACACACACACACACACACACACACACACACACACACACACGTTTCATCTCCACCCCAACTCCCCACGGGCCTGCCCATACCTCCCAGGCTGATCTCTCTTCCAGGGTCCTCAAATGTCCTGAGAGCCCATCCCTGAGGTTCAGGTGACATAGAGGTCACCAGCTGGGGCTGTGACCAGTCCCTCCGGAGCTGACCACTCCATCCCAGAGCCTCACCATGCTCATCTTCCATGGGGACACGGGAGACCAAGTCCTATCACCAGCCAGTTAAACCAGTTCGTGCTGTAAAGTCTCCCAGAGTAGCAATAAGCCCCAGCAATTTACTAACCCAGGTCTTTGAGGTCAGCTTAGCAAAGAACCCTGAACCTGGGGGAGGTCCAGAGCGTGGACTCAGCTCTGCCATGCACCCCAAGACAGCCCCTGCCCTGGGCCTCGGTCTCCCCACCTGCACGGAGATGCTAGAGGAGCTAGGCCGACACCTCTCTCCCAAAGGCTTCCTGGTCCCTTTTCCCTGTCACCTCCGACCACTTCAGCATCACCCCCACCACACACACTGACCTCTGGGGCCAGATGGAGGCTGCCTGGGTCCAGCATCCCTCCTGCTGCCCAGCCGAGGTGACCCCACACACTGCCGATGCCCCAGCTGCTCACCATAAACCACCAGCCTGGTGGCCTTCTCTGTGACACCCATAGGGTTGCTGGCCTTGCAGGTGTAGATGCCAGCATCCGATCCCTGGGCCCGGGCCAGCTGTAGCTGCCGGCCACCCCTGGTGGAGACCACCCTGCTGCTGCTGGGGAGCGGGGTCCCATCCTTGAACCAGGCGATCTCGGGGGTAGGGGTGCCTCGGGCCTCACACAGAAGCTGCACCAGGCGTCCCTCCATGGCAGCCACTTCGCCGGTGTCATTGGAGCCCCAGATGGTGGGGGGTGCTGAGAAGGACACAGCAGGTGGGGATCACAGGTGCCCCTCACAGGCGGCCAGTGTCTTCCCCCAGGGAAGCATGCATGTGCCTGTGGGCCACAAGCGCATGTCACAGGCTTCCCCTGTACGAACGGGAGGACACAGGGCATGGAGAGAGAGCAGTGTCAGGATGGGCAGCCGGGCCAGCTCGGGGACATGCTGGTGTGGAAAGCAAGTGCAGTCACCACCGAGGGTCTGGGGACCCCGCTCTGCCTCTAACTCACTGTATGACCCTGGGTAGGTCCTGTCCCCGCTCTGGGCCTCAGGCTCCCCATCTGTGGAATGAGGGGCTGGACTAGAGCAAGGCTTTCCCAGGGCTCTGGTACTAGGATGATTTCGGGGGGCAGGTGGGAATGGTGGGGGGTGACACTGCATCCCAGAACCTAAGACTCTTGGGGGCCACTGTGCCCCAAGCCTTTCAGGCCCTTTCTAGGCTCCCCCTCGGCACAGGAGCAGGCCTGGGTTGGTGCCCTGCCCTGGCACACCAGGCCTCTCTTTGGCGCTTTGCTTTCCACGGATGGTGCGTGCCATGCCGCTGGCTTCCCACTTACAGTTCAGATCATAAATATCTCTTTCACATAAAGAAATCTGGGGAGCCCTGGGCCCAGGCCAGATGCTCCCCAGTTCCTAGCTGGTTTTCCCAGGCAGAGGACTATCCCCAGGCCCCCCAAGCCTGTCCTCATCAGCCCATCCCTGGCAGGGACAGCAGACAGGAGGTGTCACAAGCAGCAGGTGGCCCAGAAGGGGTCGGGTCTCACAGTGCACGCGGAGCCGGAAGTCCTTGGTCTGCTGGCCCGCTGGGCTAAAAGCCGTGCACTGGTACCGACCCTCATCCCCCGGGTGACTGCTGGCGATCCTCAGGACCTGGCCATCCTCCCAGAGCTGGGTGCGAGGGTCTCCTGGAAAGATAGGCCTGGAGAGATGTGAAGCAGGCACGGTTATTCAGGCAGAGTGAAGGTGCGACAGGCGGCTCCAGGGCCCCCCGGTCAGTGAGAGCCGGCGGGCTGCACCCCCAACACCCACAGATAGAGGCCACTAAACCAACTGCCCACGCATGGATAAAGCTGCTTAGCCACAAAGAGGTCTGAGATGCTGACCCCTGCTGTGACAAGGACGCACCTCGAAGACATTCTGCCAAGGAAGGAAGCCACACCAAAGGCTACCTAGAGTCTGACCCTGAAGAACTGTCCAGCGTAGGCAAATGTGGGAACGCCAGGCTGCTGGCGTCCTGGGGCTGGGGATGGAAGGGGGAGGTGGCCACTAGCGGGTTCAGAGTTTTCTTCTGGAGTGACGGCACGCTCCGGAAGCAGACTGGCCGTGGTGGCCCAATGCTGTGTGTGCACTAAAGGCTGCTGAACAGTTGCTTTATGTTGGACAGTGGTGTGTTATGTGAATCCTGCCTAAAATATCTTAGGTGGTGGTTATTGTTGCTGCTGCTGCTGCTGTTGTTTGGTCTTTTTGACACAGGGTCTCGCTCTGAAGTTCAGGTTGGCCTTGAGCTCACTTTGGAGCCCAGGCTGGCCTCAGACTCACAATGATCCTCCTGCCCAACCTCCTGAGTGCTGGCGTGAAAGGTATGCACCACCACTCTCAGCTAGTTGCTCTTTTTTTTAAGGTTGCTGAACAATAGGAAGACCCTGCTCCCGCCAGCAGGATCACTCAGAGTTCAGCCTCCCAGGGCCCAGCCAGTGGCCCCAGGCTGAGCACAGCCCTGTGTCCACCAGGGAGGCTACTCACTGCCCATCCTTGGTCCACTCCACTTGGGGTGTGGGGACCCCTGAGGTCCGACACTCCAGCTCCACGTCAGCACCAGCCAGGCCCAGCACCTCCTGTGCAACCCCAGCTCCCAGCATGGAAGGGGGGACTGCGGGGTGAAAGGAGTGTAGAGCTCAGACCCAGAGGACCCTGTCAGCCACGGAGCCCTTGCCTGTGTGGGTCCCCACAGCACTGTCCTCTGAGGAAGTTCCCGAGCCCCAGATGGATGGGCCCCCAGCCCACGGTTCTCGGAAGTCTGCCCAGCTCCCCTTGTGCCACACTGGGTTGGTCATGGGTCTGTCCATGTGCTCCTTGCCTGGGGGTTCTGGGGGACAGGGGCAGGTCTGCACAGCCTCTGCCAGCCACTCACTGAGCACCAGGAGACTGAAGTCCTTCTGGGTGCTCCCTGCCTGGTTCTCGGCACGGCAGGAGTAAAGGCCGGAATCAGCCTCCTCGATCTTGGGGAAATGGAGGGTCCGGGCCCCATGCAGCAGGTGGCGGCTGCCAGCCTCAGGGATCTGGGCAGGAGAGGCCGAGGAAGCGGGCAGTGCCCATTGGCAATGAGGAAACCGAGGCCCGGCTGGCAACCAGAGCCAGGCAGGAGTCACACCAGGACCACACCCTCCACCGCCCACAGATGTGGTCACACCTCACACCACACCTCGGCAGGCCCCCTCCAGACAGCCTGTCCCGCCGCCACACTCCCGGGACACCCACCGGCTGCCCATCCTTGAGCCATGCAATCTCAGGGGCTGGAAAGCCATGTGCGTCACACTCCAGTGACAACGGCTGCCCGGCGACACCCGACACGTTGTCCTTGCGCCCCTCCTCCCGGATACTGGGGGGCACTGAGGGAGCGAGAAGAAGCAGAGAGCTGCCTCCCACCTCCTCGACCCCCACCCCAGGGTCCTGTCAGCCTGGACAGGCAGCACCAACTCCCACACTCATTCACTGTCCTGGTAGCCGCACATCTGCCCATCCCGCGAGCCGCCACAGCAGCCTCGCCCAGGTACAGGCACAGCCCAGAGGGACCCAGTGGATGCCACTGCCACTCGGCCTTACAAGAGGCTGGAGTCCTGGCTGCATCCAGTTCTGCTCCCAACCTGGTGCCACAGCCACCCAACTGGGTCCCCAGAGTGAGCGTCTCTTCTTCCCACAGACTTTCCAAGCAGGGATTGATGATGGGACAGGTGCTGCCCAGGGGCTGCTCCGCTCATCTACCAGCAGGGGGAGCCCCAGCCCACCCCATAGGTTTCCTCAGTCGGCAAGCTCCTATTATTATTATTAATTATTATTGTATTTTTGAGACAAGGTCTCACTATGCAGCTCAGGCTGGCCTTGAACTCACTTTGTAGCCCAGACTGGTCTCTAACTCAGGATCCTCCTGCCTCAGCCTCCCTGAATGCCAGCACTAACGCCTTGGTTTGAACCCAACTGTGGGCTCTGGGCCTCTCCTCTGCTTTTCACCTGGATGCAGCTGCAAGGACCAGTGAGCTGCCACCGAGTGCTCCTGCTGTTTCCTACATAGCCTGCGCAGGTCTGCCCAGGCAGCAGGGGCAGCAGGGAGCTCTGCCCTCCTCTGGCATCTGCAGGCAGGACTTTGTGCCCTCCCTGTGGTGGGCTCTTAGGCCCTGGGGACCCAGTGTTACCATCAGACCCTGGCACCACTACGGAGCCCAGCCAGGTGGCCTCCGTGGGAGGTCGGGGCAAGCCTGCCCCTGGGTCCCCGCCATTCATGCCCAGCCGTAGCTCTGAGCCCTTCTTACCGTGGACCACCAGTTTGGCTCTCCTGGAAGCAGAGCCTGCCTCATTAGTGGCCCGGCACTCATAGTCTCCGCTGTCGGTGGGTGAGACCAAGGACAGGAACAGGGACCCATCGTCCAGCACTGCCACACCCGGCCGGCCACTCAGGGGCTCTGAAGATGGGCCCTTGTGCCACGTGACCTGCGGTTTGGGGGTCCCTGGCAGGAGCACAGATTCCTGAGCACAGAGATCCCAACATCGTCCTCTGCACAGCTGCACGGCCCTACTGCATCTCCCCGCGTGTCACCAGCTCCCAGGGCTGCAGCCTGTGCCACCCCTCGCCCACCACCACCTGTCCACATTGTCCTCGTGGTCCCCATGGGGCCCACACACAGTCCTGTTTCCTAGATCCTTTCTTCCCAGGGAGGCCCCTGCTGCCCTGAATCAACTGCACTCCACCCACTCCGACCTCTGCCACCAGCATTTTCTTTGCCCCCTACTTCTTCCCACGAGCGTGGGGTCTTCGCTTTGTTCCCTGCTGAGCCCCAGCTGCCCGCGCCATGCCTGGCACGCAGCAGGGCTAAGTGAGCACAGAAGTTACAGGCTCTGCCCTGTGCCCTGCTTGGCCCCAACCACTTCTCAACACACGGCGCCACCACGGGTAGCACGGCCCTGGACGGTCCCCTCTGACACACTGCGTGCTGGGCTGGCTGGCACCTGCCCCCCACCAGCCAATGCACCTGAAGGCCTAGTGCACAGCAGGTATGCAGCCCCGCTACCTGCTGGGCTGTGATTGTCCCAGATCACTAAGTGGTGCCACCCAGCAGTCACCACAGAGTCCCTGAGTGACCCGGCCCTAGCAATCCACACAGCACCAAGGCAGGCGTGGGTGTACCCCAAAACTCCCCCATACACACATCACACATGTGTCTCCTGACCCTTCAGCTTCTCCTGGAGACTCTCATGCCTCTGGCCCCAGGAGTCAGGCCTCCAAGCTGTGGAGAGGCCTCAGAGTTTGGTGGTGGGGGTTTGGTACCTAGAATTGAACTCAGAACTTTACATTTGCCAAGCAGGCATTGTGCCCCAGTCCCAGCCCTGCCACTGCTCAGCTGTGGTCCATCCCACCTGGATGCATAGCACGGTGGACCCAGAGCCCTGCTGCGGGGAGCCCCTGAGCCCCTGGGTCCCAGTGGTCACAC